GTCTTACTGCTTTTATCTATGTTTGAAAAAGTCTTCAATGAAATTATTTTGAAATTGCCGTGATTGTCTAACTTTGAACATGTCTTTAAATCTTACAGAGCAGCTGCTATTACTATTGCATTGTGTTATAAAGCTGTCCTGTATTTTTCCATCTGGTATTCTGCTGGTTTTATAGCTATATGTCGTTTTGGCTAAGTCATGTGAACGTAAAGAAAAGAGTAGAACAAGCTCAAACAGCCCAGCATGTTTTCAGTCAGAAATCAAAAGCTGTCAGATGTAGAAACAGGATGCCTAAGCGACTGTTCAGTCAGCTATAGAAGACAAGACAGAACTCATGAACTATATGAATGTGTAAATGGAAAATTAAAAACTCAGGCCTAAGTGTAGATGACTCTGTTATTGTAAATTAATTATTAGTAAGGTGCACTCATTGGCAAGCTACAAGTCTGCGTGGATTAGGAGCTATTTCCCATTTCAGATGTACACTGCACTCTAGGTTGTTGCATAGCAGCCTGTTCTGATGTTTGCATTTCTGTGCTTTTACAGCTAGAAACAGCACAGTTTAGGACAGCACATGCATTGGCATTGACATCTATTTCTGGAGAAGAAACAGAACTACATTAGCAATTCACTTCAAATTCTGCTTATTTTTTTCATTTCAGAGCACCGCTGTTTACTGTTTGCAAAATATGTTAAAGATGTTTATGCTACCCTCTATGCAGTCCTCAAGGTGTAGTGTGGTTTTCTGAGAAACTGTGCCTTCAAACCACTGTGGTTCTTCATGGCATCACTCAGCATCTTCCATGCTTTTCTTTTCTTGCTCTTTAGCTCATGACACTAAACAGGTGTGATGACTCAATAATTCTGTGAAGGCAGTATATTGGGAGACCTTCTCAATTACATGCTTGTGCTACAACATCAATTTTGATTGTTTTTAACATTAGATTGAAGCAGTTGATTGGTTAGCTTTTATTTAGTTACATTAAAGATTAAATATTTGTCACCCCTCCTCCAGAAAGATTTTTGGACTTGTTTCTGAACAAAAAAGAGAGAACTGTTTGACCTGTAGAAATTCTTGTTGCCCTTTTTATGTGCACCATTTTTACAATTACTGTCACTAACATGTGATGAGTTCTGAAACTTCTGACTTAGCCCGAAAGGGAGTTCAGAATTAAAGCTGATCTATGTAGTATGGGAGCTTTGTGCACCATAAAAATGTTGGACCTTCCGGATAAGATTCTGTGTACAATACAGAGAACTGTGCATTGATCAAATGTAAACCATCATTGGTGAACATAGGCTTACAGATTGAGACAATGATGGTATGTAAAGGAGTCCTCTTACCTTACATTAATTGTGAGGGTAAATGAAATGAGCCTTAAAACATCCACTATTCTGATAAAAAGGGGATATAAAAGTAACTGCATCATCTGTGGCTTTCAGGAGTCTTTGAAAGATTAGGAATTATTCATGTTTCTATTTTATCTGCCCTTTAATGATGTGCATGTAGTTATATATTTACACTCGGGCTCTGTGTTGGTAAAGCTTTCCATATAAATGTTCCTTAAGTGCCTACATGAAATAAACCTCCTCCTTAGTCCTTCCAGAAGTACACCTGCTTGACCATTACCCACCCTACAGCCACTGAAATACTTGTAGGTTTGAATCAGTGTAGCTTCATTCTGAGTTACTGCTGTTGCTCTTTGGTTTTCCAGTGCATTAGCTTTATTAATTCTGGTGGTGCTAGTATTATTTGAAGTTACTACGGCAACCTGTCACCATCTGCTATTATAAAGTACGCCGGGATTTAGTTGCTAGGTGTTGAAGTTTGTCATCTTACCCATGTGACCCTAAGGTTTTTCTGAGGTTTCTCTTCCTGTAGGTGTTGCATCCACAGCTGACGTGCACTTTCACAACAGGGGAAAAGATTCCGCGTTCTTTCCCCTTGACCTTAGAAAGCCCTATTTGTTTTACAGAATACATCTAGGATCCCTTTTGATGTACTGTGTATATACCTGACCAAAACGTTTCTTTTACCTTAGCCACTATTTCTAAGTGTTTATTCTAAAGCCAGCCAGCTTTGTAGTTCATTTAAATTTGATATTAATTATGCTTTTTTAAGTGGACAGGGAGTTTGAATGCTACCTGAGATACTTTCTTCTGACTCCTTTTCATTTGACCCCATATATACCCGTATTCCTGCTCCCGATAGAAGTGCAATGTTCATACTATCCATTTCTTTACCCGTTTTTTGAAAGGCTGCCAGCCAGTTGGTTAATTAAAAAGAGTTCAGTGCTGTTTCTGTGCTGGGTTCTTTTACATTTAAATGGAAATGAAAGTTTTTAAGTTGTAAAACATATTTCATTAGATATCTTCTTAGTAGTGCCGTGGATTCAACGTTATTTTAGTCAGGTTTTCTGTTAGTATTCTCTCATCAGTAAACTGTTTACTTTGATGTGTTTATTTTTTACACGTTTGACCTAGTACAAATCAACCTTTTCTGCTGTAATTCCCAGGATAAAGCCTAACAAGCCCCAGCACAGCTGAAATCACTTGCTAATATCCTATCTGAAGAACTTCACCTTTGCTGTCACAACTTTTTTTATACTCTTCAATCCCTATGTACAATGCCTGGCTTAATGAAATAAATTTTGAATCATAAGCATTAAACTATTGTATTGGTAGGTGGTGCTTGATTCTGTCCATCTAGGGGGCATGCAGTCTGCATTCAAAGTGTAACAGATCATTCTGCTGCAGAACTTGCCTTGTTTCCAAGCAGTTCATGCTCTTTGCACATTCTTGTAAGAGATACTTAAACAGCAAAGAGAATTTCAGTGAATCCATAGAGGTACTTGCAGATTTGATCACGGCTTTTTATAGTCCTGTATTACACTTAAGTTCTGCCGGTGAGAATGGTGATGCTGAGAGAGCGTGAGTACTTTCAGAGATCCGAGGCTGCATCTGAGAAGTGAATCTTTATTGCTGGCATTTGGGGATTAGGAGGGAGGGGCAAGCTTTTGACCTATAAAGAATCTAGCAGTTAATTTCTAATAGCTGAGATCGCTGGCAAGTATATTATTAAAGATCAAACTGTATTTCTGTATTTTCCTGCTTTACAGTTACATGGAAATGATGGAGGAAGTTTTTGTAGCAAACCAGCTTTACTGTCACCTTCTTTTTTGTGTATCATTTAGTCCCACTGATGTGAATTTGGTGCGAGGTTCTGTCCAGCAATATGTGATCCTTGCTTATGGCTCTTTTTGGTGATCAAGGCATATCATCTGTTAACTGTCAAATCACTGTACACAGTTACTAAGAATAAGCATTCATGCTGTACTGTAATCACAGATATAGCTAGACACATTTTAGAAGTTGGTTTCAACAACACCAGTAACCTTTTAGTCTTTATGCCTTTAAGCAACATAATACATCTATTCAATGCCTGTGAAAAAAGGCTGCTTATTTCAAGAAGTGATTATTAAACATGAGTATAGAAAGGCATTCTGTGGAAAATGTTTAACTACTAAACATACAAGCTCTCTTTCATATACAAGCTCTCTTTCATGTACAATTCTCTAACTTCTGTCAGTAGTTTTTTTTTCAAAATCAAGACATCAGAAGAAAAAGCACCACACAGTTTCATTACCGAATCCTTTCCAATTCATTATTAGTTTCAGCTATACAGTTAACATCATAGAAAAGATTTGTCTGATCCGTAACTGTAAAAGTGAACTACTACAGCAGGAAAACCAGCATTTCTTTTTAGAAGAACAGCAGTACCGGAGAACACACGATTCCTTACCTGAAAGCTTTTGGTTTACCTGCAGGAAATGTGTCTTCTTTGTCTTAAAAAGTAGGCAAGCCTCTCACTAGCATGAATGTTACTCCAAAAGAAGGTATAATAGGTCCCTTATATTGTAATTTTCACTGTTTATATGCAAGAAGTGTGCTGGGTCTGCTCACGTAGGAATAAATAAATAAATAAAAGGCAGTACAAACTGAACAGCCGCTAACAGATGAAAGACCTCTAGTGGCCGTAACCTGAAGTTAAAGAAGGCTTCCCTCCTCTAAGGGGTAGACAAAATGGTTGGGTCTGACAAACTACAGCTGATACTTTGGTAACATGTGCCTTTGTTGCCTTTCTGATGTAACAGAAGGATAGAGTTAAACAGAGAATCTGCTCGGTACCAAGTGGAAATTAGATTCTGGGCAGAGGGGCTGGGGAGTCCTTTGTATCAATTTTAAACCAGTATGATGAAAAGATCCAAGTAAATCTAGAAAATTATTTTTATGCTCATCTGCTTCATAGTCTCTTATTTTAATAAAATCAGAGCACCTAAAGCAGGTTCACTTTTAAAACAATAATTAAAACTTGAGCAAATTAAAGAAGTATCAATAAAGAGGATTCTTCATTGTCTTAAAGGAAAACTGCAAATCATTAAGCTCACTATTGCTTGAGAGAGAAATGTCTGCATGACTTTCAGTACATTACAGTGAAAACCTAGGATGATAAATAACTTTATATCTTTCAGCATTTCTGCTTTAGGATTTGAGAAATATAAAATATTTCATTTTGAAAGAAGTTTTGAAAGATTAGAGTAATAGTGTTCTATAAGTTTTACAGAGTACTGTAATAGCTACTTAAACATCTGTAGACTGTAAAAAAAAAAAATCCTTTCTTCCAATATTTCTTCCTGTGAATAGCCTATGTTTCTAGAATGATTAGAAAAATTTGATGCTAATATATTTTCTTCCTATGAATTCCTAATGGGGGAATCCTAGGCAACATCATATGCCTTTTGGGAGTCTTAAGGTAATATTGAGTTGTACTTCATGTATAAAGTTTTCTAGTAACGTGTGTTTCCATGCAGAGTTTCATAAAAGATGTAACTTTCTCACCAGAGCCTGCCCCTTGCCAGGGTAGCTTTTGAATTGTCCTTTTTGAGTTCTTAGTTCTTGCTAAAGTAATCTGCATGTGTTCACTTTTGACTTTCTTTCAGAGTCGTTTTGTGGCATGCATGACAGCCATCTTGAACCAGATGAACAACCAGCATTATTCCGTTTACATTGAAACTTTTCAGACAAATTCAGAGCTAGTGGTGAGTACAAAATAATCATGGAGATGATAAATAGCTCTAAATATTTTATTTCCTGTGAAAAATAAGTAGTATTGTTTTAGAGTATCTTGTCTGATTCTGCCGAGAATGAAGTCTATTTCTGCCTCTGTGTCATTGTGTTGCCTCCCTCTTCTAATGGTGACCTGTGACAATACTGTAATCAGAAATTTGGAAAGATACAAATGTTGTTGTTGTTTACCCTAGCACTGAGGTGGTAATATAATAATCAAGAATAAGTCATGGGATCTTTGTGTTATACTGTTCTGAGGAGGGGAAAAAAAAAGAAAACCACAAGAAAACAATAACAAAACCCACCTCAACTAATTGAACCCTCCCTCCTCGCTCTGCACGTGATGATCCATTTCCACTTTTCATTTTCACTATTGAGTCTGCTCCTGGTCCAGATAATCTTGTGTGTTAAATGCAGTAAACGCCTTATTCTTGCAGCACGGCTTTGTGGTTTTTCTGGCATAATTTAACGATACTTGGGGTATATTCAAGTTTGTACTTGTTTTGGTAGCCCTGTGTCTGTCCTTTTATACTCCTGACATAACTCTGAAATAAGTCTGGGTATTGGCAAAAGTTTTCATTACACCATCTAGAGTTTGTCCGTTGAGGTAATATTATCAGTTGGCAAGATCTGTCCATTTTCTCTGCTTGCTGAAAGTCACAGTGTTGCCATAACTGAAATGCTAACTGATCAAACCTAGAGTAGCTTTTGCAGTTCTTCATGTGCTTTAGTTTACTTGAAAATGTAACAGTATTTTAACGTCATTTCAGATTCCAAGCAGGTTGAGCACTTGGTCCTAGAAGTTTTAATAATACTTAAACTACTTGAACAGTTCTGCAGGGGAAAAAAACTTTAAAAAGACAAGATACCAATATATTCAATGGGTTTTGCTGTTTTTAAGGGCATTGGTTTGTTTTCATTTCTTTTTTTTTATGTACTATATATCAGTGAAGATGACAAAGATTTGTTTTCAAGTAATGCTGTTGAGAGCTATTTTTCACTTGGTTCTCTGTAAGTAATGTGACAAGAAAGAGTGCAAACTTCACAGAGAGCTGCATGTGAGGTTTTGGTGATAGATGATGACGTTACAGCTTGCTAGTTTTGCGGACTTCTAGGTGACTTGCTCAGAAGTTCAAGGGTAAAACTGTATGTATGTGCTGTAGGTGAAATAGACCTGAAATGATTGTTTTATTTAAGTTCATTATACAGTGATATTGAAATACTTCTAGGGAAATAAATTGTGTTTGTTTTGTTTGAAAACTTTCTGTCAGTGCCTTCAATTTTTAATTTGGAAAACTAAATTTGGACTAAATGGACTAAATAAAAAAATCCTATATTTTTCAAATCTGTTAATTATGTATAGTGAGATTGTTTTGCTAATTAAAAAATTCAAGATTTTTATTCCAAATGTAATGACTTTTAGCTTTCATTTGGAACCTGAGACTGCTGTTTTACAGGACTTCAGTTCCAATCTTGGCCTTACTGATATCACCAGGAATTTTTCTATTGACTTCACTGGGACCAAAGTGGAGCCCTCCATCTTAGTTCTTTAATCACAGCAGGAACACCTAAACTTTGTGTTACATGGTCACAGACTTACTGTATTTTGTTTTGCTAGGACTTCTTGATGGAAACATTCATCATGTTCAAAGATCTCATTGGAAAGAATGTTTACCCTTCAGACTGGATGGCAATGAGCATGGTGCAGAACAGGTAAAATGGCTCTGGAGGATCAGCGCTCATATTCCATGTGCTCGTGAACGCGTTTCATATCTTACATGACTTACATGAAGTCTAAGATGATTATATTATTCTGTGTTGGTGACTGCAAGAAGGTGATAATCTGAAATAATTTACTGACAATACATTAAGTAGCTAGCTGCCTGTGCTTTAAGTCCACTTACAACGGAAAGGAAAAAATACATATTTAACAGCAAAGTGTAAGTACATAGCTGGTCTCCATGCTGACAGTCAACAGAAGCCAAACTGTAAAAGACTTGTTGAATCTTAAATGTACAATTTCTGCACAGGGTTAGAATGTCCTCACTAATATATCAGCAAGTTCTTTGTGATGCAATAGTTATCAAACACAGTTTTCTTTCCAAATGAATATGGTTGCTTGGATTGCTAGAAGATCTGATGATCAAGATCAAATCTTTCAGTGCAATGCACTATTTGTAGGAGGAGGTTGGATCCACGGTGTTTACTGTAGCTCATATCATTGAGGAAATGTATTGCTATGTTACAGATCATTGGGAGTTTCATCGTGATTGTTTACTTCAAACTTGGTATATTGCCTGTTTAGATCAAGAGGGCATGTAAGCAAAAGTTCGTATAATTAAATTTATCATGCTCCTTATTGTTTGCTCTGTGAAAGCTTGCTTTTAATAAGAAATCTTTGAGTACTCTTATATTATAAAATTGACTGAAGGAAGTATCTTGTGGGCAGAAATGTGCAGACTGTACACCTTTACCGACAGCTATAACCTGTTTGTTTTGGTGTCACCGTAAATGATGGTGGGATAAAGAAAGTATTGCATGAGCTTTGTCCATCCACAGGACTGCTATTGTCCTGGTGTTAGGACTGCAAGGAGTGTAAGTGAAATTTCATGTCATATAGATTTTGCTGCCACATGAGCTCTTTTTAGTTTATAATTTCCATATCATGTGGTGCTGAACTGGAAAGAAAAGAGAAGTATCTTTGTGTACCCCCACCATTAATAATGGGTTTAAACAGCTGGCTTGTGCCAGCGTATCACTGATGGATTCCGTCAGTGTATCTCTGAAATATTGCTTGTTTGAAGAGGAAGGAAATGTTCTTCCCTTGAGGTGTGAGTTTTGTTGTTTATTGTGGGCATCAGTTAGAAATCAATGTTTTTGGCAACAAGGAAAGGCTGTAGTATATAGGGTACAGGATAGGCTATGTGAGGATTTATTTCCTAATAACTGTTCCAAGCCATTCTGAGGTATTGGCTTTTTTCTTTTTGTGTCTCCAGTCTGTAACAGAGCAAAGCAAGGGAGAGTTGGACTGAGAAAGCAAAGAAAAGCACATGGCTACTCTACGCAAAGTTAGTTTGTTCAAGTTGTTTATTTGTGGAGCTTGTAGGCAAGGAAGACTTTCCTCAAAATTTGAACACGTAGATGTTTTACAAGCATGTTTTACAATGCAGAAGAAATTGAACAAAAATGTAGCCATGAGCATGTGACCACCTTGCCTTGTGGATTTTTTTTTTTAATTTGCTGCTTTTCTCCTCTTTATACTTATTGGAAATCATGGGTAAAAATCTCAGTAAAAGGCATCTGGATTTGAGGAAAAAATTCACTTCATTTACATTTCTAAATGTATTTAGGTGTCACCTTGAAGCTTGAGCTTATTCTTGCTTCTTGTTCTCAAAGAAACGTTGCATTTTATATGCCGGATTGGATAATGAAGTGAATGTGTTTTCTTTTTTTGGGGCAAGACTTCTGTTGGCAAGGTGGATTTTGATCACCTGTTTTTGATCACATTATTTTAGTTTTGTAGAAATGACAGTAACACGGAGTTGTCTAGAAGTCAGAGAGGCTAGTCTAAGAATTAAGTCTCAAAGATGCGTGGGGTCCAATTAATTTAGAAGTCCGTAGATGCTCTTTATTTCAAATGTCACAGTTATGTAATTTTACTCTTCCAGTTTTGTAATATTGAAAAGGAGAGAAAGAGGATACTTAATCTCCTGGGAGCGTTTGGTCTTGAGGAAAAGATTTGCTAAGAAAATTGACAACATTATGATATCAAATTTTTATATTGGCTCTGTTTTAATCCAGGATTTGAACGGAATGATGTTAAATGAAGAGGGCTTTTTGTGTGTGTTCCATGATTCAAAGTGGGAGGACTGTGGTTCTAGCGGGTAGTGACAGTGGCAGTGAGGGCCTAGGTGCCTAAACCTCACTTTGTCACTCATGTACACTGATGTTCATGCAGAGGGGTCGCTGACCCCTCTTCTGAGGTGGGCAGATACATGTATGCTGGTGGATGTGTTAATTCCTGGTAAGATTTTGTGAATGGCAATAGTTTCATCCTGCTTGTTTCTCTAAGCCAGTCTTTGGGCTAGAAAGGTAAAATCGAATTCAGTGCGCATTCTTATGTTGCGGCTGCTGCGATTTGCACGGATTTTTACTGTAGTGAGGATTGCTCTTTAAAAAGTATCAGATTAGTACTAAAGTGAAGTAGAGACCTAAGAGTCTTCCATTGTATGTAAGCATATCAAACCTTTCCTGTGTATAACTATTTCCCTTCTCTGGAAAATGCTATTAACATCTGTGTTGTTCACAAGTATAGGATTTTTTTTTTTTTTTAATTCTATGTGGGTGGGGGAAGTATCAGTCCTTGTTCAAAGCGTATGCCTTTGGGGCTCGGGGGTTCACCTGGTGGCACTGATATTGCTTCCGTTACTGACAACAGAAGGTCATTTGTGTTACTGTATGTTGGCTGATAATGCCTTCTAATGACGCTGAATTGAATGGGACAGTTTGGTCCAGGTGGGTTTTGTTGCTCTAAACCTTATCCTGCATTGGACAAGTCAAATGAAAATTTTGAAAGAAAAAAGTCAGCATAAAAAAAAATAAAAAATGTTTAGAAGCTATTTAACAGTGCTTCTGTAAACAGATTGCTTACCTAAATTGACTTGGCACTGTTTATACTCTGAGGATGTTGCTGTTCCCAAGATTACATAAGGAAATGAGTTATTGATCTTAATTATATCAAGAACTGGGAGAGGGGATTTTTGTTACCAGTCTTTATAGAAATTTGGTTTTGGTGGGTTTTTTTTTGTTTGTGTGGGGTTTTATTGAAGGAGTGGGTGTTCTATGAAATAAGTTGAAAACTAATTTAGTTTTCTAGATTTGTCTTATTAACATGTTTTACACCAGAGAAATAGCAAAGAAAAAGTCCCAAGAGGTCAGACTGGGGTATCTTACAATAACAATGAGAGAAGAAAATAAATTCAAAAAAACCAACCAACCAAAACAAAAACCACAAAAACTGTTACCACAGGTAAAGTTTTATATTAATTCACCGGTTCTGAGCAGGAGGCTATATGTGGGCCTTTTTACGCCCTGAAGGATGTATTTTACCTTAAGAGTTTTCCCTTTCAGAATTTGCAAAAATATTCGTTCCAGGCCGTAAGGCACGTCTGTTGTGTAACCTAGCCAATGGCAGAATGTAGTTGGCACTTCTTCCCTGCGGGCATTCAGCAAAGCCTGACAGGCTCGTCCAGATGATCTCTTGTATTTTGTACCTAGCGGGGAAAGTGGGCATTGGAGGAGTTTTGCTGTAGGATATACTGCAGTACAGAAATGGAAAATCAGAGGAAAGGGAAGAGCATAACTCGTACTGCAAGTTTGGTCCTGTTCGTGGGTAAAGGGTGTTCCTGATGAGCAGGACACTCTAATTATAGTCTTATACATAAGGACAGATAGTGCGTGTATGATATCAGGGATATTTCTACTGAATGCCTGGCATAGGTAAGGAGAAAAGAATGAGAGAATGACTTCTTATAAGGTCCTGGGGAATTTTTTTTTTTAAATCTTTTTTTTTTTTCTTTTTTGAAAGAGAGGAAGAGAAAGAGAGTGCCATCTGGGAAGGGAGACACCTCTGTCCAAAGGAAGGGAGAATGGACACATTTATGTCCAGGAGAAACTGTGGTAGGAGGGAGTTGAAAGAATGGCAATACAAGCTTATTTGACTAAACTTACTTAGTCAAGCTTTGCCTGTACCAGGATGGAATGATTTAACTTGGATTACTTTAAATCACTGTTATAAATAATGTGCTGTTTGCTCTCAAAGCGTGTTCTGGTTCCCAGAGCCAATTTGAAGGAGGAAGAGGCTGTGTGTGCTAGTCCCACTGGACTGGGAGTATTCTGTTAGCAAGTCAGAATCAAAAAGGGAAATGAACTACTTTTTGTTTTGTTGGATTTTTTGTTTGTTTTGGTTTTTTTTCTGTGTTTTTTTCCCTTTTTCCATTAACAACAATATGGGAAGAACACTTTTTTTGTGGCATGTTAGATGGGGCAGAACACTTAGGGAAACAGTAAAATCCTCATTGAGGTCATGAGGATATAATATCCGAGTTATTTTTGTGATCCTCCATGGTAGATTTAATTAACTTTTGTTCTAATGAAGGTTGCTTACTGCACACTTCTTACTAGTTGCTACTGCTTGTATGTGCACTTTATTCCACTTACAGTACTTAGACTATTGGCTATTAGCTTATTAAAAGCCGTAATTCCTAGGTACATGGCATTTGTGGGGAAATGCCTTGCTGGTTTAGGTAATACCATGTAGTCCACTATCTCTCAGCTGTTTTTAATTTTAATTCAGAGGCACGTAATTCCTCCCAGGAAACTACTGTACCTTATTGTCAGCGTGGAGTGTTGGGAGTGCAGGGAGTCAGATTCCGCAAATAAAAGAAATAGTTAGGGAGGTTAGTGACTAAAGGGAAGCACTCCCCTCCCTTCCTTCTGTTCCTTTGAGCTTTGAAATGGTAATTGCTCAGACAGAGTTTGAAATTACTTGATCTTATCATAATTCATACCTGGAATCAGTTTTGGTTGGTGTCTAAAAGGGGTTTAGTAAGAACTTTCATTGTTTGTGTGTCCACTTGAGTTGTTTTTTGAACCTTGTAGACATTATTTTTAGGTATTTTAAAATAAAAGGAAGCAGTTTTTCACCAGTGCAT